TAAAATAAACAAATTATGTGAAACTAGACGACAATCTTTTCTACTAGAACTTCAGGTGACAACTCTATTTTGCTAAGGGATGAAATTATATAACTTCGTGAATAATGCTATGCTTGCTCTCTTACTCAAGCTCAAACAATCAATCTCGTACATAAAGTTTCATTTCTTTGTTTAACTCGTAATATTCTCTTCTAAGTTTAACAAGTAAATTTAAGGAGTTCCCCGCATCAAACTTGCTTTGCTTTAGTAATTATAAATGTGCTCCAGTCCGCGGATTGTGTAATGTCACAATAAAGAAATGCTATAGTATGCAGATGTGCTAAATGTTTTCTATCTCTTTTATTTATTAAGATTAACTTTTCAAACTATAATATTTTCAAAAAAATATAGTTAATTTTTAACTTGTTAATCATATCAACACAAGTATTCGTTATATAAAATTTACCATTGATTATGAAAATTCCTACAATCATGGAGTCATGCTGGAGCACTAATAAGAATAGAAGACCCAGTATCATAAATTTACTTCAGTATTTTCTCATGAAGGCAATTTTCAGAGGATATTTTAATTAGTAAATAACTTCGTTTATGAAAATATAATGCTGAGATATTTTATAACCCGATTTATTGCTGCTATGTATCACCTCAATATAAAACCTTTCCATGTAAAACTCTTGTAGATCCTTCCTGCTTCTAATATAGAACATTCACAAAAATCGATATAAATTAAAGGAGAGGGTAGCTATTCTTATTACGGAGAGAGGGATTGGGCAAAAAATATATTACTGTCCAATATAAGCTTATGTAAGAAACCTGTTCACTAGCTGATGTACTCACGATAGACTATTGTTCTAATGTCCAACAACACAAAGAAGAGCCAAGGCTGTTACACTTTTTGGAAAAGCTTTAACACGTTGACTGCTGGCTCTTATAGTATATACCACACCAGTTTGCCAAGCCAAGTCTATATATTAAAATTTTACCTATCTATAAGCAATGCCCTCTGATGACTGTGATGTTCAGATTGAAATGCAGACCTATGATAGCAATGATAACCAGTCTAGGGATGGTAGCAACCCAATGTTTCATCAGACTCTTATTTTTCAAATGATAACAATGCAGTACTGGCCACACGTGGAAGACCTAGATTTCGTGGGATCTGCACCAGAGGACCACATGGTCGTGGAAGTAAGACAAGAGGTGGTGGATGTGGTTCTGCTACACCAGTTCATGATAGAGGAGCAGTTGTAGGTGTAAACTCTGGTGTCCCATTGCATAACTGGACAAATGTTGTGCAAGATCCACCCGATTTCACTTTCAATGAAAACTCTTGTCTTAGAATTCAGTCACAAGATGCTTCACTTGCTTATTTTGAATTATTCATGACTCTACAATTTCTAGATATCATGGTCACAAAAGCAAATTGATAAGCGACAGCCGAAATCAACAAACAGCGACCATTGCAAAGAGAGTCTAAAATACTGGAAGGACACAGATGCAACAGAAATGAAAAAGTTCCTTGTCTTGTTTATTCACATGGGTCCAAACAACTTACCTACCTTGGAGCACTACTGGAGTACTGATATTCACTACAAGACACCCTTTTTTAGTGGTGTTATGAGTTGCAACTGTTTCCAAATGTTCTTACGTTTTTGGCATTTCACAGACAATTCTCAACCTCATGATGATCATTTGTATAAGATACGACCTCTCCCGGATCATTTCAATAATGAAATTATCTATATTTACTATCCAAGAAAGGATTTGTGCATCGACGAGCCCATGGTACTTTGGCGTGTCAGATTCTTGTTTCGACTGTATATATCAAAAATAAACACCCCAAATATGGAATGAAAGTCTATGAAATTTGCGAATCTCGAAATCTGGTGCTGAAAATGTGCATATGTTCGGGAACTGGCCCTGATCATGATGCTGGATTGAGACAGGCTGTGGCTGTTG